ATTATGGGGGATGCTGTATGCCGATGATGCCGGCGTCGTATCGAGGTCTGCAGAAGGACTGGCGGGAGTGATGACCATCATCGTATCATCGTTGAGGTGTTCGGGGAGTTCGGGCTTACGGTGGTGTCGGAGAAGAAGACGGAGACGCTCCTGATGCGCGCGAAGGACAACAAGCCGACTGCAACATCACAGCCCCCCCCGCCTCCACCGCTGACCATCGAAGCCGCGGGACAGAAATACGCCCAGACGACCGAGTTCCGGTACCTCGGTGGCCTCGTCAACGAACATGGCGACCTCACCCGGGCGATCAACTATATCTAGGAGCAGAGGAGCGTGGGCGTGCCTCAGGAGATATGGCCGGGAGCTCTTCGACAGACCGAGAAAGCGCCATTCCGACTCATTCATCATGTGACATCAAGATCTGCCTGCTCCAGGCAGGCGGAGGTGATGGAGGCACTGCATGCTGTATGTACGGCTGCATGATGACATGGTCACCACTCAGCGGCCACTATCAGACGCTGCGGTCGATACACCACCGACTGCTCTTTCGAGTTATCGGGTACAAGCGCAAGAACGACACCGACCGGCAGCTCTCTTACGTCCAGACGCTGAAGAAGAGGGTCGAATGCGTTGAAGCCACGATCCGACAACGACGCCTGCTATTCGCGGGGGCATTGGCAAGGCAGCCGGAAGGGCGACTCCCGCAACGACTGATGCTCGGCGAACTGGCGGGGGGGGAGAAGCGACGCAAGGGGGGACAGGAACATAACTGGCCGAAGTGTGTGCTCGACGATCTTAAGGCATTCGGGTCCGAGCACGGATCTATGAAGAAAGAAAGTCGATCCATGTTGTCTCGGAATCCCTGTACCGAAAGACACGGCACCGAATTTCAAGTGGACGGAAGCTGCGAAGGTGGAGGGGGGAGTGGTACCCTGACATGCGGCGGTGCTGCAGGGAGCTGAGAGGTTCTTCATGATGACCTCTTGGCACGAGAAGGAAGAAGAGGCCAGCCGACAACGGGCGCTCGAAATGAAACCACAAGCCAACAACCAATGGGGCGGAAGGCGGGCAGGGGACGGACGAGACGGCGAGGGAAGAAAGCAAACGAGAATAGACGGACCGAGTGGCGCGATACGTGCCGGATTGAATTTCTGTGGTCAATTCCCTCCGCCGCCCAACGCTGCACCATTGCACCAAACCCCCACTAGTGATGACGTACCATTACAATATATCGCTGGTTGGTGGCCATGTTTGCTGCTTGTTCGTTAGTGGTCTCTCCACCGTGTGCCTTTTCTTGATATTTTCGGCCTGGTCCCTTTTTGTCTTCGCTGTTTTTCGTTTTGTTTTCTCTTTCGTCCTTGCTGTTTCCTTTCATTTTTTTCTCTTTTTCTCTGTTGATTTCTTTTTTCTCCTTTGTTTTCTCTCTTTTTCTGTGCCAGATGGCCTTGTCTCTGCTTGCGTTGTGAAGTACCAAGATTGAACCAAGGGCGTCTACGTCTTTCTCTCCTGCCTGCGATGGTGACTCCTAGTCTCGGTTATTACCTCGCATAGCGCGCAGAGGGAGTGGAGGACTCTAGAATATCTGTCGTTAATTTCTATCGACTTGCGGACCCCTCGGGGCCAGTTTTTTTTAGTGTACCCTTTATTTAGGGTAAGTTAACCTGTGACCACGGGAATCGACCGCGTCGAGTGTTGTATCAGTACGGACAAAAGAAGGTACTGACTGGGTACAGAGAGATCGGAACGGTTCTTAATGTGAAGACAACAACAACAACAACAACAACAACAAGGAAGCCAGCAACCGCTCGCACGAAAGAAAACACCCCATATCAGTTTGTGTATTGCGTGCATATCACGCGAAAAAAAGAAATCCTCTGCTCCTGGACAGGACGAAGCAACCAATATTTTGGTAGAGCTTCAGTCCGGAAGGTGTTCTCGACAATCAACTGCATCAGCACGTGAAAAAAAAAGCTCCCACACAACTGCAATCACTCGTTTCAAGGAAGACCTGGCGGCGACAGGAATCATTGGCTTCGCGCTCGAGGTGACACAACGAAAACCAGGAGGGCTTGCGACAAAGCGATTGATTATTCACAAACAAAAAGGAAGGCCAAAGGCGACAACCAACTCAAAACAACGACAGATCATCCAAACAACGACAGATCATCAAATCATCAACCATCGTGTATGCAGCAGCAGTAGTACGGTCCACTGCAATTCCCTAGCGCGCCACCACCTAAGCACTCAGCACATTAACTTGAGCCCCCCCCCCAAAAAAAAACTAAAAACTTGGTCATAAGAACACGTGCTCAGTCCCACACTAAAACCTAGTGGTATAATATAGTCGCCGTCGGGGTACAGCACTGTACCCCAAAAGATAAAATAACAAACGAGCCTCGGCCAAAACAGAGAAGGAGGTTCTTAGTGGCGGCGCCTTCTGCAACACGGAATACACCCCCTTGCCCTCCATGCATTGCCGGCCCCTTACAGTAGTGCACCCAATTCAACGTGGGGTACACGGGACAAACAACGGCGACTGCAACCCGGCCGTCTGTGCATACCTGTCTGTGCACATGAGACCCGTACACCACGTGACTGTGAGGTACGACGTACCACACGGGGACGTTGTGAAAAACCACACGCACGCATATCTTCACTAAGGGCTGCTCGTATTGCCCTCTCTCTGCCGTTCGTTTTATATACATGTATCTGTTCATGCTGTAAACCTTCCACCCAAAAACGAAAAACGAAAAACCAAAACAACAAAGTTACGGCAACGCCCCCATGCCCTAACAGCAGTTTCACAGCTCCATGCAACAGGAGCCAACCCCACATAAGAGGTAATAAATAAGACCCAAATATCACGACGCAATTCACATCGCCAGGTTCGGTCTTTCGACAAAAGAAAAGAAGAGAAGACTATGCCCTTGGGAAATAAATCGAGGACGCGTCGCGGAGGTGGCACGAGTTGACCATTCCCAGAGCATGAACAAAAAATGACCTCACTGGATGCATGCAGCGGACGGGTTGCCAAAACACAACTACACATGCATGTTTTCCTCTTTTGCTTGGCCTACCATATGTATACAAACGTACACGACACAGGACGATGCCGCCCCCCCCAAAGGGAACACACGCACCACACACATGATACATACCACGGACCAGAAACATAAAAATACTGTCAGACCAAGAAATAGGGCGGCACAAGACTGCTGTCACGCCCCCCGCACAAAGTAACACACGCGGTGGAACCAAAGTTCAAAACGCTAAAACGGTCATCACCAGGGGAGGTTTTTCTTGTTATTATATCGTAACGTGTACGCTACGACACACACAATACATCCCCAAACCGTACCACACCAAATGGCGTCACGCACGCACACACACACACACACACACGACAGAAATAACTGAACGTGTCTTCGCGAAAAGGAACCGGTTCAGACGCCACTGAGGGGCGCGCCCAAAGGACAGGCTGCACACCGTTTCAACAGTAGGCTGCTGCGGCGGTCTCGTATTCGCTCGAATCGGAGGTCCATCCATCTCTCCGAGCACTTCCGTTGCTATCATGTCATGTATCATTATCTGCATTTACATTATTTTCATTTACAGCCCGACGGGAGCTAGGCGGAGATCGCCAGCAAAGCCAAAAGAGGGCCAAAACGAGAGCAGTTTCGAAGGTTGAGTGATTCTACACTCCATGTCTCCTTGAAGCTTGCCAATTGCCAGTACACAAAAATGTTTGTCACTGCAGCGGTCAAGCGGCAAATGACAAACGATTTCTTCTCTACTGCTGCTGCTGTGCGACTTTTCATAGGTGGCGCGTCAACGGCAAACAAAAAATGCCCATCCAAAACTTCCCGGGATGCGTGGACAAAAAATCGAGCTTGGTTTCTCCAAGCAGCATCCCTACCGCCATTCTTCAAACTTCGTGCGACGGCGCCACACCCTCTTGCTTCTCGTCCCCTTCTGTGGCCGAAGCAGCCCAAGACCTCCTGACGTATGCGTTTCTCTCCCCATCTTCACTCTCTTTGCACCCAGGGGATGCAGTCGTATCCTTGCCTGCACCGGTACCGTCACCATCACCATCACCATCACCGTCACCGCCACCACACTTGTACGCTGGCCACCTCCCATCTTCCACAGTTTGCACGGCCAGCGTACCAGCGATAGTCCCGCTGTCACCGACACTCACTCCACGATGGCCACATCCCCCGGTCTCCACATCGACCGGACCGCCGCCGTCACCAGCAGGGACTGCCGCCACTGCAGAGGTGTCCACGGCAGCCATGATGGAATCCATGCTGACATCCGCGGTGCCCGGGATGGGGAGAGCGGGGCCGGTGGTACCGTCGCCTAGGCCCCCCGGGTTGCGGCGGGACTTCCTGATTGAGTCGTCGGAGGATGATTCGCCGCGGGCCCCGGGCAGCGGCCTCAGTTCGCCCTTCGCCGGGGGCAAATTCTCGCTGATCTTTGCCTTGAAGGGGACCACGAGCGCGGTGCCCAGGGCGATCTTGCCGCACATGGCGAGGAGGGAGATCACCTAACATAGCGAGAGTAGAGGAGAAATCGACAACAAAGGATAAAAGAGTAGGGTACCGGTTACAGACAGTTCCCACAAGAACCCAAAAGGAATGAGTGGTGACCATGCATGACAATGACGGCATGCCGGCCGATTGCGGAGCAATCAGAAAAGACTTGAAATGCACCACGGCCCAACAACAATCCAGACAAAAAACACTTGGCGCCAGGGTTAAAAAAAAAAAAAATGTCGCCATTTTTAATCTACGACACATCGTGTGCCTGACATGCTTCGCGCATTCCCACGTCCCCCGTCTCTCACCGAAAATACCCTTCGGGCTAGGTCGGACGCCCTCGTCTCGTCCGCGTGCGGCAACGCGTTTCCCACCGCAAGGAAACACGCCGTCTCAACGCAAGTCAAGAAACACGACACCTTGTACGCCTTCACCCTGTCGATGACGCTGTCCATGATCGGAGCGGCGGCGAAGCGGATCAGCTTGCGGAACCGCAGCCTCTCGCGAACCACCGCGTCCCCGATGGAAACGCAGGCGATGAACGTCCGAGTCAGCCACAGCCACGCCAGCAGGCCGAAGAAGTAGTAACCCAGGGGCATGGCGATCACCCCTAGCGACAACACCCTGCTGATGATCTCCATCACCTGGTAGAGGAGAAACCACCAGACGAAGTCTTGCGGGTGCAGCTGGAAGCCCATGCGGACGCAGACGCTGCCGACGAAGGGGACGGTTCCGAAGAACATGCTCGAAGCGAGCGGGAGCTTCGCGGTGGGGTACTTGACCCCCCTCGACCACCTGTTAATTAGAATGGCCGTGCGTGCGGGAAGCGAACACACAAGACAAGACAGTTTGGTTTTGCCGATCGCAGGGTCAACCGTCTCCTTTCCTGCTGCAGCGAAACAGCGGGTCGCTTCCCAACGTCTTGGCCAACCGCAGACAAATGCAAGTTACCATCACCTTTGTTCAAAGCGGACCAGCAGGACTGTAATAGCACAGCATTGCGTAGGTGATAGGACACCTGTCCCTTTTCACGCGAAAGACACTGCTGACAGCGTGGCCCTCAGCAATTCGCACATCACATCACAGCAGTGGCGTATTTATTTAGCTTTACTTACCGTAGCTGTGACAGGGGATGCTCCGCCACGATCCCCGTGCTCGCAAAGGCCAGCGAGAGCATCGACACCACCACGGAGACCACCCGTAGCGCCAAGGACTCCTCGCTCACCAGCAGCACATGGGTCTGCAGCAGCAGCATCGGCAGCGACTGGAATAGGGGCTCCAGCACCCTCATCGCCACCAGAGCGTGCGAGTACGACTCCTCCCTTACCGAGATCAGGCCCTCTACAATCAGTCCCAGCTGCGTCACTGCGGCTATCCCTCTCCCGACTGTCTCCTCCCTCAGCACGTACGCCCCGGCGCACAGTGCCGGCCCGGCGATGAACGCGACGCCGATGGCAAACCAGGGCGTAAGCCCGGACCTCCAGTAGGATAGCACGGCGGCGAGGTCGGTGAAGAGGTCGAGGTATCCCAAGAGCAGGGCCGGGATAAGGGAGCGTTTCGAGCGCCAGGGGGGGATGGGGGCCCCGTGCTCTGGGATGGCGAAGACGAAGCGGCGGAAGTTACGGTGGTTCCGGAGGGAGAGGGGGATCCCTCCGCCTGAACGGACCAGGGAATGGACAGCACGGACGAATGGACGAGGGATCGGACGCAAGGACGAAGATTGGATGAGGACGAGCAATTGCCGAATGATTTGGTCGGGCGGTGTGCCCCTGTGGCAGGAAAGCAGCGCCGGCAGTCACAGTCTAGCTTGACAAAAACAACTAAAGCCTCCCTCCAACAGGCGACACTGCTGTGATACTGAAGAAAAGGGTTGATAATGTATGGTAGGTAAAACAAGCTCGACGCACGAAATAACAAAGAAGTTAATTCTGGTGTTACTGCGTACATGTATGGAGACCACAATACATGCCCAAACCAATCTACATAGGCTCAGTACCTCTCTTGCGGATACAGTCTGAAACCGTCACAATTCAGGCCAACAGGAACCACGCAATCCAAAGTGCGGGACGCAACAAAAACAGAGAGAGAAAAAACAAACAGGAAAACAGAAAAAAAAGGCAAAACACAAGCGAAAGACGCAAGCGCGCAGGCAAAGAAAGAGGCAACGGCAGCAGAAAAAAAGAAAGAAAGGAACCGAGGCAAAAACAACAACGGACCGCGAACGGAAGGCAGCAGCCGGAAGCGAATACCGCAAAGCAAAGCAAGCACGAGCATGAGCCGCACGCACACGTTCTAGTCGTGACTAAGAACCAGATTACAAGGGGTAAGTCGGCATTGTGTGTAATTTGGGACACATGTACTTGTGAGAGCGCTGGTTCATCTCCAAGTTCTTCCTAGCTAGGTGAAACTGTCAGGAAACACGAAACGGAAGCAGATCCATCGGAGATTACGGAGATGGTCTTGCCGTGGCGCACGAGAGAGAACCTTTACTCTGCCCTGCGATCGACAAAGAGTATCATTCTATCAGGCCATCCTCTGATGGGCATCGACAAAGCACAGCAGCGCTTCCCAACGACTTTTCAAGGCATACGATATGCCGCATCGTGCCCCGTGCAAGTAACTCCCTGCTGGGCATCGACAACATACCTTAGGGTTACGGTACGGTATGCGGCGTTCACCGCGGACGCAAGTTTCCCAAACAAGGACGTTGGTGGGGTGTGTGTACGCGATCATGACAAGGCCATTTCATCATGCCCGTCGAAGGACCACGAACGGGAGCAAGTTCGCAAATATCTACAAACAAAAGAACGCTCTGTTCCGTTTCCACTGGTTCCGATGACGAACCCCGGACGGGCGGAGGAACCTTTACACCAAACAGCACTCCACTCTGAACATAAAACTTTCCGGCCATGTCAAAACGGTCGGCCTGTCTTCTGGTACATGGTATGTCCAGGATCGCCGAAACCACATAATTTTCCAGCTTCTCACCGCTCAGTAGCAGGGCATTCTGCGCGACGTCAAGCTTCTCCAACAGAAGCAGCTCGCCAAGCTCCTCGGGTATAGAGCCTGAGGAACGACAGAGGTAGAATCGGTCAGCATTTGGCGATGGAGTAGTGATAGAGGCCAAGGATTGGAATCGGGTAAGGTGGAGGCGTCAAGGCGTTAACTTTACCCGGGGTTAGGGACGACAGGCGGGGGTGTGCACAGACAGTGGGCCAAAGCCAAAATACAGAGGGAAGAGAAAGCAGACACGTTCCAGATTCTTCAATGTTACTAATAGCATCAAGCTAGCATCAACAGCGAACAGAAAACACATCCAAGAGAGATCCTAGAAGAGTCGTCCGATCAAAGCAAGGCTACATATAGTAATTGAGGTAACTTCACGACCTGGATCGATCTCCGAGTCACTTCTTGCTCTATGAGCTATTGCTATCTACTCGTCCTTTCTCACCGCTGAGGTTGTTCCCCCAAAGGTACAGCTTGGTCAGATTGCTCAGCTGACCGAGCTCCGCGGGGATAGGTCCTGGAGGGGTCAAGGGGAACACACAGCGGCCCACACACAGCGGCCACGGGTAAGGGTTCGAGTCTGAGGAAGTGACCAAAAGGGGGAAAGGAAAGGACGACCCGCCAAACGAGCATCCAAGTACGGCCGGCATCTGGCATACCCCAACGGAGGGTGTGAATGACGAAATCGCAAGAAAAAATCGAGACAAACAGAACGAGAGAGAAGCGAAGAAGAAGCGACGATGACAAAGCACAAGGCTGCGACTGTGCTCACCACTGAGGCGGTTGTTGGCAAGGTTAATCTCCACGATAACCTTTAGGTTCCCAAGCTCAGGCGGAATCGGCCCTGTCGTGGAGGTGCGAAACATGAACGAACGAGACAAGGACATGAAAAACGAACCGAACAAAGTGCCGTTTTCGTGACGAGGCCCTAGCCGTGTAAAAAGCCCCATCGTGAAAGCAAGGGCCGCAAGGGAAGGGTGTTCACGAGTGATACTGATAACAGAGGTAGCCGTCAAGTCAAAAAAGGCAACACTGCTGCGCGATTGACAAATGTGATACATACACATTCCTTCAAATACCACACGCCACACAAACGTCGCCCACAATCGAAGCCGTCTAAGAACCTAGTATCACCCATGGCAAACGTAGGCCGTTGCAGGCGTGTACCAGCAACACCCGATAGAAACGATGATTGATGACATCATGTCGTCCCCGATCGATGACATCATCTCGTCCCCGTGTTCTGCTCTCTTAACGATGTGCGTCCGTCTCCTCACATACTAGCTCGCTGGAATTCAGCCAACTAACGCCTGAGGTACTGAACTCCGTTGACGAAGACCACAACTACCAACTGCTGCTCCTGCGGAGTCTTGCCTACCATTGAGCTTTTCGGTATCGTGCGACTGGGTGGACGACCTAGTCATGGAAAAAGTACCACCAAAGAAGTATTGGAGCACACCCAAACACGTTTGTTGGTTTGGGAGCACTCACCGGTAAGCCGGTTGTTGATGAGGACGAGCTTCTGTAGCCTTTTGAGATCTCCGAGGGACCGCGGAATCTCACCGGTAAGCTTGTTCCCGTGAAGGTACAGCACGCGGAGGTTGCTCAGCTTTCCTAACTCCCGCGGGATCGGACCTTGAACGTGTCCATGTTGATAGCAGGGTAAAACAAAATGTTTGTTCCGAGTTAGAACTTGGCGGCAGCAGACGTGTCACTCCCACTGACTTGTCGCATTCTTCCTGTGAATGAGAGATTCTGCTTTGACTTTTGTGCGTTTGTGCGAAGGCACCTTCTACGGCCTGGCTTCCTTCAGAAAGAGTATCCTGGATAACACAGTTCCCACGACAGCACAGCTCTTGCCGGTATCAACAGGTTACAAACGGGGGCTGCCCATCTCGAAAGAAAGGTAAAACGTTTTGTTGTCGCTACCCACAGCGTTTTTGTTTGTAGGTGGAATCCCTCTGTGATTGGTTGCGGTTTTAGCATGTATGGTACGGTCGTGCGGCATTGTACGGTACGGTACGGTACGGTATGGTATGGTATGGCATGGCAGCGGTTGGCTGATCATTCTCACCGGTGAGGAAGTTCCCCGAGAGATGGAGCTCTGTCAGCGCGGATAGCTTCGCCAGGGTCTTGGGAATCGTTCCTATGCATGTGCATAGGATTGGTGACATTGACGGCAAACAAAGGGCAAACAAAAGGGTTGCAGATGAAAAGCGAAGAAAAATGCCAACAGTTTACTTGTACTTGTTGGCGGGATCTGGGACACGATTGAAGATAGCTCGCTCAAGCGGATATTTCTCGGGAGGCAAGAAAGAAGCGCAACCCGAGACAGACTAGCCCGAGCACTGCGGGAGGAAGGTTGCCCCCCCCCGCACGCAGAAGGGACTCTTATCTACCTAGCGCCCGAATCGAAATTAACTTCGGGAGTGGGTGAGGTGGTCCGGGGATGGGTTTAACGGAAATAGACGGGGTACGAAAACCATGCACATAAAACGAGAAACTAGTCCATGTGTAGGCCAGCCAACCAGCTTGACAAACCTACCTTCGCTCAGAGGACATGGCATGGCTACCCTAAACGGTGGTGCAGTGTCCGCGACTGACAAAGAGCTCTCAGCCTTTTGTGGAGATCCGTTACTAGTAAGCGGTGGGCCTTCTGCCGAGCGGGTGGCCGCTATAGGGCGAGCTAAATCTCTCGCTTTGCACAGATAGAAAATAACCTACTTCAACAGGGCGGGTGTTCGCCATGGGACGGGAAATCGGCCTGACACATGGCCGCCCTATGTTCCATGACTTGCCCGGTATTCACGGACAGTTGTGGTTCTGAAGGCTAGAGTTCGTTCGATCATCACGAGATGAGCATGTACAGAAAATTAAAATTCTGCACTACAAACGTGCTTCTCGAGCTCTTCTTAGGGTCGACCTAAACAGGCCAAAAAAAAACTGCGAAACCTGCGATCACAGGTTTTACCTGCGAATATGGAGGCTTTTTACCTGCGATCGCAGGTCGGGAGCAGGGCCGAAAAAATGACCTCTGCTCCTTTTCTGAGATCGCAGGTACAAACCTGCGATTTCTGCGATTCTCTTGAGAGCATCACGTTGGATCGGGCACAGCACACCAAGCCACCTGTATCACCCCCGTAGCTGCACTATAACCCCCAGAACTGATCGCCAGAGTAGGCTAGGGTCCATGGCCGACAATAGAAGGCGCCGGGAGCTTCGGGGAACCTCACAGACGGCTCCGCAAAGGCGGCGACTGCGGCGCTCCGACCAAAGAGACCATGATACGACTTCTACTGCTGCGATCAAGGCCGCCGTGATGGCCTTCCTTGTCCTGGTCGGTGTTGCAACGGCAGGAGCACAGGCCGCTGAGCTGTACGTGCCGCAGCATCTATCCTAGACGCCTGCCGACGACCTTGCAGGGCTGAGCGAGCGGCGGTACTCCCGGCGACGACCTCGCGAGACATGCCTGGCGGAGGGCTGATGCCCACAGCAGGAGGCATTTGAGGCCGTCCTAACCCATAACCAGCAGCAGCAACTGCTTCCCCGCTCGTCTGTAACCGTAAAGGAAGGGACCCAACCCTCGTGGGCCTTGATACCCGCGGTGTCACACTGTTTTGGTCGGCCATGGTGGATGTTTGTCTGCTGTGTACGGCCTCTGCTGTTGTGTACGGCCTCTGCGGTCGTCGGGAGCGGTTTGACCGCCAAAATCGCAGAAATCGCAGGTTTTTTTAATTTTGTGCTCTGCTTCGTTTAAAACGCCCGCATTTATTTTTCTGCGATCCGGGGTCTGAAACCTGCGATCGCAGGTAAAAATCCGAGGTCGTTTAGGACGACCCTTACCTTCTAAGAAATTGTCCCACAGATCGAGCTTCTCGAGCTGCCTGAGCTCCCCGAGCTTGGCCGGGAGCGTTCCTGTCGCAGTCGTAGTACGTACGTAGGGAGCTAAGAGTCGGAGTGGCCATGTGAGCAACATGCACCAAGTTCGACGTGTACGTACTGTACATACAAGCTTGTCTTGTTCCATGACGAATCCATAAAGCTGTCATTGTATCCAAGACAGGTTGGGCTCAGAGTGATGCACACCCCGTCGAGAAACGAAATGCATCAAGTTTTTTTCTCCTGTCGAAAACGTGCCTTCCCGAATGACGTCGCCTTCCCTCCATTCAGATATTCTTCGTAAACCCGTTCTCATATTCTTCTGTGTTGCACAACAATCCTCCACACTGCCGTTACTCTTGTCTGAAAGGTGTGATCGGTAGAACAGGGTGGTCAGAATCACCCCGAAGGAAAGCAAACCAAGCTGAGCTCAAATCCGAGTAGAAGAATAGTAATCAGGACCGACCAAACGATGAATAACTAATCCGATCATAAGAATGTAAAGCAGGCAATGAAAATGGTGAAGTTCTATCTGTTGCTTTCAGACGTATCGCATCGGTCGACGCCCTCAATGCACGTAGTTACTCCCACGTGGGAGCCCACTTGGGGGCAAGGGCTTTTCGTTACACTGCTGCATACCTCATGTTGCTGTAGCCGCTGTACACACGCACAAATCGGCCTACGAACGCTTCATGAGAGTCATGACAATCCCACGACTACGCTAGAGACACAGAACGAAGCAGCATCACTAACCTGAGATCCGATTCGTGTGCAGGATGAGCTCTTTGATAGCGTCCATCTCGCACAGCTGTCGAGGAAACACGCCTAGAAAAGGTACAGCAGTAGGTGCGTGTGTGCAGAACAGGAGCCGAGAGCAAAACGTCAAGATGCTGCCATGGCATTCAAGTCCTCTGCCGTGTGTCAGCCTTGCACGATGCGTTTTCTTCAGCGGTCAAGTGTTGTCAAAACGAATTTTCTCAAGCAGTCACGTGTGTCAAAACACTCGCTTTGTCAAAACACGAGCAGGTCTCATGGCAGGTGACTGCTGTCTTGATGTTACTCGGGATAGGTGAGCACTCCAGCACAAACGCATAGCACGCGTGGGCCCGACAAACCGTTGTTTCCGGGCTGTTGGTATGCCGACCCTACGTAGCTGCTGTACTTCATTCAATATGGCATGAATTCTGCGCAGTGTGCTTTGCTGCGATGTAAACAACAGAGCATTTAGTCTCTCGTTGACAATATGGCTAGTTTCAATAAAGGATACAGCCAGCGGAGAATGGTGGACAAACATGCCGTGTGGGGGGTTACAATGTATGGTGGACAAACATGCCTTGGCCATCCATCGAATATTCCCAAAAGAATCTGAAGAACGAACCGCAGGGACGTGAGAGTGTACTCTGAAGTTGACTTCTTTTTGTGTAAGGCCGTGCAGTTCGGCAGCCAGGCAGAAAGCCGTTGGCAGGTCTTATCGAACGGCAATGTGGCGACACCATCATCCTTGAAGGGGGTCAAGCAGAGCGCTGAACACAGGCGTGGTCACCTCATCGATACATCATCTATCGGTTTACCATGTGTATCATGTGACCCGTGTACAAAGCGTGTGACGAATTTGACTACAGTCGACGGTCCTCAATAGCGGTGCCCTCAATAGCGAGATGCCCTCTATAACGGCATCACAATCGCTTGGCACGATTGCATCCCTCAATAGCGGTGCTTGTGCCGCTATTGAGGAACGAATCCTTCATAGCGGTAATGTGCCGCTGTAAAGGACAGTATAATGCAAGACAAAGGCAAGGGGAGCATCAAGGTCATGAAGATTCAGTGGTGGCGGGGCTGCCGGCTGCACTCAATGCGCTCAATATGGGCGTGAAGGAGATAGCTGTGGGGGGAGGTGGTGAACAAGACCCAGAGATGTGCGAGGTACTCTCGTACCTCGGCATCGTCCCGGGTAAGTAAGCCCGCCACCCTGGCAGCCATCGAGGAGTTCGAGTCTTGGGGTGCAGCTAGAGGAGCAGGATGAGGTGGATAAGGCTCTCGCCGCGGACGCGGGGGCGGCGCTCAATGAGCAGATAAAATACAACATTACAGGGGACTCCGATTCCGACGAGGAGCTGAATGAACCACACGGGGGAGGTTGAGAGTGCTGGGCGTAGGAAGTTGATGGCGCCGCCGCCGTACTCGGGTCTGTCGGAAGTTTTCGTCCACTAGAGCAGTACGCACTGTCGGCTGGAAATAACGAGGCTGAGCATCTTCTTCGTAAGGCCAAGATGTCGTTCCTCGCAGCCCACGCCGCCAAATAAACCAGTCCAGCAATCAGACATGACAATGTTTCTTGAATCCTCTTCTAAATTTTTTTGTGTACGCGGTGTGTGGCTCTGTTTGCACCTGTGGTTCATTGATTTAGCGCTGCTATCTTTCTGGTTTCTGTACGGTTCGTTGCTCTGCTACGATTCGACTAGTGGGGGCGTAGTGTTCAGTTCAGTACAGCAGTACTGCACGATGGTGAGGATTCCTGATTGAGCCAACTCATTCCTGCACAGTACACCAGTACAAGAGTTCTGATCTGGTGTCAGTACTAAATCAAAGTAACTACAGTACGATGAACATGCTGCACAACGAGTGTATTATTGGACGCAATGGCGTAGGTCACATGATACCAACGAGCGTAGTGTATGTGAAAAAATACGGCGTCGTTGCCGCTCTCATCCTCACGAGCGGTGTTGATACCGCTATTATGGAATGGCTTCGGCGTTGTTGCCGCTCTCATCCTCAATAGCGGTGTAGTTCCGCTTTTGAGGAATAGCGGCAGTGCCCTCAATAGCGGCATCAAGGCCTCTTGTCACTACCTACCGCTACTGAGGACCGTCGACTGTATACGTGTGGGGGATGGCCTCAGTAATTCTTGGATGAGAGAATGATCGATCCTCCGACATAAGTTTACGGTGTCCGGACTTGCGCACACCTCGTCGTGCGGGAGACACAGGCTCCTTTTCGAAACACGTTCAAAACTTCAAGTTTTGTAGACTAACTCTCGAAATATCAGTCCACACTGACATTTTAGTTGCTTTCCATGAAGGTCCAGCTTTTCCACGCGCCCTTCATCATTGACGTACACACCGGTCCAGGACGAGATCGGGAGCCTTCGTGCCTCCCTCCATTGCGGCAGCGAAAATGCAAAGCGAGTGTTCCCGAGAGCGGTGCGGTCGCCTTCTGCCGAGCCAGCTGCCAAAAAAAAAAAACACACACACATACACACACACACGATACTGAGACTGACGTCTTTTCATTGGTCAGCCGGTTAGCGCGGTCGATGCTAATAATAAAAGCATACACGATAAGAAGAGAAGAAACAACAACAAGGGCGCAGACCGGGCGAACCGGTCGCCCGGGTGGTCTAGTTGGTATTCTCGAAAACCTTCTAGAGGTCAGGTGAGGGGTTCGGATCCCGGCGTACGCGAGCGTTCCTTGCAAGGTGAGTTTTTCTCTCGCTTGCGCTCCTGGCCAAGTTGTTGTTGTTGTTGTTTCTCACATTAGCTCTAAAAAAGAGAGATTGGGAGCCCGTGGTCTCAAAACCCGGCATACACGACCCCACGACGAAACAGAAAAAATAGGGTACGAAAAAGTGGATAGCGCTAGTTCGTGCGTACACAGAGGGAAGAGAGTGCTGAACTCTTGTCGCATGAAGAGTCGAGGGCAAAGTACCGCAGGAGGGGAGGGTCGAGAGGGGATCTTTCTGTGTGACCACGGGTTGGAGTAAACGGCACTAGTGCTGTGAGCGCTGATTTGAAGTCAACAACACACACAAAAATTGCACCATCCCCGATTCGACAAATTCCCCTAAAATGACAGACGGCGGACGCTAAGACGTTTAAGACATAGACTATGCATGCCAGTGAGCCGCTTTGCGCGGGCTGAGTCACACCATCACACTTGCTTGCATACACAACCATCGCACTGCTGTGCCAAGGTTGTGGCACAACCCTGCCTGCGGCTATCTCTTCGCTGCCGTAGGCTATGCATGCCAGTGAGCCGCTTTGCCCGGGCTGAGTCACATCATAACACTAGCTTGCATAGACAACCATCGCACTGCTGTTCCAAGGTTGTGGCACAACCCTGGCTGCGGCTATCTCTTTCGCTGCTGGGGCGGCGGGCGTGTGCACGTGGGAGTTGGCAATTCTTACCCCGAGTTTTTGTTGCCATTGTGGTTGTCGTTATCACGGCGGTCTACAGACACGGGATGTGGAGCATGTCCATGAAGATATCGGACAAGTGGACACCGCGGGTGAAGGTGTAGTCAGCAGAGAGAGGGAGAGTGTGCAGCAGTCGTCAAGTGAGTGGCAGCTGGTAGGGGGCAACACAAGTGGCGCGGGTGCGACAGGCAGGGGGCCCGCTCGTTTGCTACCGCTCGCACACCCGCTTTCACTACAAAAATGCGGAGGGACTACTGCTTGCTGCAAGACGTGAGACGTACGTATTGTTGTATGTTGTTGTTTCTCACATTAGCTCTAAAAAAGAAAGATTGGGAGCCCGTGGTCTCAAAACCCGGCAAACACGACCCCACGAAGAAACAGAAAAAAATAGGGTACAAAAACCGCTCGGAAGAGAAACAAAATGATAGAAAGAAAGACCAGCTACCGCACCAAACGAGAAAGAGCGTCGAGGAGACCGATCAAAATAAAATAAAAGGAGAACGGGGAACGCTTCCCACACCCGCCTACAACGCCGGAGGGTTCCGTGCCGGGTTCCCGCCGACCGTATTTTCTTCATTAAAACTCGTGTCAGTTGCTAAATCCCAAAATCTAGCGAAGACTCGGTCCGTGGTCACAAAAATGCTCCCCAAAATCTTCCGTCTACAACATCCCAACATAACATACAGATAGATACACAAGATGGCTACCAAACTGCCTTGCTGAGCCTGTTGCCCACAGGGGAGTTATCGTTGTATGCTGTTTGGGAAACTGTGGACATACAGGTAGCCTTTCGCTCACGCTATGGATTGATTCATTGCTAATCTAAGACTTATTTCTGTTGTTGTTTTTCTCCACGTGTCAGTTGCTCATCCCAAAATTTAGCAAAGACTCGGTCCGTGGTCACAAAAATTAAGGAGAAATAAATACACGCACAGAAAGACTACCCATTCGAGATATATATACCCACAGTCGAACGGGATGTGGTGGAGTCTTTTCAGTAAGTGGAGGAAAACCGGCTGGGTACTGGACTTATTTCGAGTCTTTTAAAAATGCTAGAGCCATCAGGGTGGGTCCTATGCATACGTAATTTTTGAAAAAGTCGAACATCGAACATCGAACAAGCGGATAGTTTCCACGGGTGTGTTCTGCAGAGGGTACGGGTACTCCCTGTAGGGTACCGGGTGTGTCACAGAAACCACAGAACTATTCTGTAGGGTACGGGAGGTGTCACAGAATCCACATAACTATTCTGTATTGTACGAGGGCGTTGCAGAACTATTATTCTGTAGAGTACGGGAGGTGTCACAGAATCCACAGAACTATTCTGTAGGGTACGGGAGGTGTCACAGAACCCACAGAAGTATTCTGTATTGTACGAGGGTTCTACAGAACCTCACAGAACTATTCAGTATTGTACGAGGGTTCTACAGAACCCCACAGAACTATTCTGTATTGTACGAGGGGGTTACAGAACCCATAGAACTATTCCGTAGGTATCACAGAACCCACAGAACTATTCTGTAGGGTACAGGGGGTGTTACAGAACTCTGTGTCTACAGAAGAGCCCCCGGTACTTACCCGGAACCCCTGAATTACCCTACGGAACATGACTAGTTTGACGACGTGCGTGTTTACGACGAAGGTACAGGAAGAAGAGGCAAGGGCGCTATAGCACCTAACAAAATAGAAATCATACTTCTAGCACTAAAATTAGCCTATCGTTCAAATCAACTGCCGTAGCCGCGGAAAAGGTGTTCGTAGAATCAACCACTCGGAAAAAGAAAACAAAATGTATGATAGAAAGAAAAGAACAGGTACCGCACCGACCGTTCGAGAAAAGAGCCCTCGGAAACCGATCAAAATAAAACAAAACAAAAATAAAGGATGACGCTTCCCACACCCGCCTAAAGAAAAAAACAAAGGGTAACGTACCAGCACCAGGCACTACGCACCAGGGCATGGGAGTTTCGGAGCAAACAGGACAAAGAGGCGGCAGATAGGCAGACAGCAAGACGTACAAAAACAAAGGCAACAGCAAAGCGAGATCACGGTACCCAACACCGCAGAGTAGGCAGGGAGGTAGGTCATGAAAAAAAGAAACACAGAAACACAGAAACACAGCACAGAGAGAGGCCGAAGGTAATATGTGTTGTTGTTGTTGTTGTTGTTGTTGTTGTTGTTGTTGTTGTTGNCCCAACACCGCAGAGTAGGCAGGGAGGTAGGTCATGAAAAAAAGAAACACAGAAACACAGAAACACAGCACAGAGAGNGTTTTGTTGTTTCTCACATTTAGCTCTCATAGTCCACAAAAAATGGGGAGCCCGTGGTCTCAAAACCCGGCACATANAGAAACAAAACAAAAATAAAAAAATAAAAATAAAGGAGGACGCTTCCCACACCCGCCCAAAGAAAANCTATTACAAACCACTCGGAAAAAGAAAACAAAATGATAGAAAGAAAAGAACAGGTATCGCACCGACCGTTCGAGAAAAGAGCCCTCGGAAACCGATCAAAA